ACTGCCCCCACTGCCCCCCCACACACTGCCCCCCCCCCCCCCCACACACTGCCCCCCCACTGACACACTGCCCCCCCACACACACTGCCCCCCCCACTGTACACACTCCCCCACACTGCCCCCCCCACACCCCCCCCCCACACACTGCCCCCCCCCCCACTCCCCCCCCCCCACACACTGCCCCACACACTGCCCCACACACTGCCCCCCACACACTGCCCCCCCCCCACACACTGCCCCCCCCACTGTACACACTGCCCCCACTCACTGCCCCCCCACAACCCCCCCCCACACACTGCCCCCCCCCACACTGCCCCCCCCCACACACTGCCCCACACACTGCCCCCCACACTGCCCCCCCCCCCACACACTGCCCCCCCACTGTACACTGCCCCCCCCCTGTACACACTGCCCCCCCACTGTACACACTGCCCCCACTCACTGCCCCCCCACACCCCCCCCACACACTGCCCCCCCCACACACTGCCCCACACACTGCCCCCCCCCACACACTGCCCCCCCACTGTACAAACTGCCCCCCCTGTACACACTGACCCCCCCCCCCGACACAGTCTCCCCCTGTACACACTGACCCCCCCCCTTATACACCCTCTCCCCTGTCCAGTCCTACGCTGACCCCCTCGTACAGTAATGTGGATGATTCACACCGTCTCCCCCCGTACAGTAATACCTTTCCGTACGCAGTCCTGCGGGTGACTCAGCTCTCTCCTGTACCATAAGGCTCTCTTGCGCAGCACCGCAGTGGTGTACAGTGGTGCGGTCACCCCCCCCCCCCCCCACCCCCCACACCCCCCCCCCCACACCCCCCCCACTGCGCTGTCACACGCATCATTCCTCAAAACACTTAAGTCCTCACTTGACGCACCGTCGCAGACTCTCCCGTCCGGTAACGCAGTTTGTCATGTCATTCCTTCTGCTTAAAACATTCACGCAGCGCCCTTCGCCCGGGGTTAGGGTCTCGGAGCACCGAAGCGCTCTCTCTGCCCTCCGGGGTTTGGGCGGGTGCACATTTGTGCTCGACTGTTCCCAGAGGGTCAAACCCTCGTCTCCCGTTTCCCACTGTGTGCTGCTGAGTCGCACCCAACAATAATAATGATGATAATAATAATAATCATAATCCTTGCATTTGATACAGCGCTTTTCACGTCTTGTCGATGTCTCAAAGCGCTTCACCGAATAGACCGTAGAGTGGATTGACTGTACATTTGTGGGCGAAGCGCGGCGGACAGTTGCGCACAGCAGCGTTCAATCCGCGAGCTCTTGCGGATTGAAAATGACCGATTGTATCGTCGTTTTGTTTTTGGAGGGGTTACGATCAGGCGTAGTGGAGTAAGGAAACTTGCCCAAGGTTTCGCCCTCCGCCGGGGATCGAACCCAGGTGTCTCGCCTGCGAGGCGAGGGCTCTAACCGCTGAGCTACAGGACCCAAGCAACGGAGGGAGGGAGGGAGGGAGGGAGGGAGGGATGGATCAGCTGGCCATCGATATCGATGTATGTTGTGAGAACTGACCAGGAAATGGCGGAGGCAGGAAAGCGTGTCCGCACTTCCTCTCCCTGCTGCTCTTTACCACGTTTCCAATCAGTGCAGAGGAGGGTAATCCTTTGACACATTTCAGGCTGTGACATGAAGTTGATCAACGCGGGAGATTATTTTCTCGCACATTGACCGACCACAATCCTCCTTTGCCCGCGTTTACCTGTCCAGTGTCTCAGCAGAGTTATTCAGGTCACCTTTCAGCTTTGAGAATACCCATTTGTTGCTTCTGGTTTCCTATCTGCTTACTTAAGGCAAGTGGTTTTAGACAGCGGACTGCAGACAGAGATTGTGGCAGTGGGGTTCCACTGGTTTTAAAAGTCATTTACCAGACCAACGTCTTATCCAGCTTGCACGCTGATTAAAAAAAAATATGCCTGTGGATTAATGCTGCTTGAAAAATAATCTGAATTCACCTGTACAAAGTGGATCGAGCTCCAACAGGCTTACCCACTTTAGCCGTAAACCACTCAAATTAATGCAAATGACTTTCTCCACTTTACACACTAACTATTAACGTCCTGTTCAATTAATTTCTTTTTTTGGGGGGGGGGGGGTCAGCCGGGTGGGTGTCTGACGCAAGCGGAAACCCATCACCGTGCTTGAGAGTATCCAAAGCAGAATGAGATTTCCGTGCAACCGACCTACACTTGGAAATCCCAGAGAGATCGTTGGAATGGAATGCGCACTCTCTCTCCCTGGAGGGGACCCATCCAGCTTACCCAATTCCGGAAAGTATTAGGCGCAGGTTGGCAAGAGCCAAGATTTGGGGACCCCAGACTGTGCGTAGGGGTAACTGCTTGAGTCTAACCAGCTAAAACCACATAGCTTGCCGTTGATATCGCTGTCTCGCAAGCTTTCCCGCTGTTTGTCCAGCAAGGACCACCCTGCCTGTGAGGGTTTGGGCTTGTAGGGTTAGCAGGAGTTGAGTGGGATGCCTCCCTGCCCCCAGGGACTCCCTCCTGTGAAAGGAACCATCAAGCTGCATTAAAATGGCATATGTAGGGTAGCACTTGGGAGCTATTCACAGAATGACAGGGAACAAATTTATAGCAGGAATCCCTTGACAGTGAGCCACTATCCTCAGCAATGCTTCTGTGGGAGAAACATCCAAATGTATAGAGTCACCCTGGGCCGTACTTGAGCAGCCAGTAGTTTTGCCAAGGACAAAGCACAGGAGTGAAATAATTAATATATCTTCCAGTCAGAGAGGGAATTCGCTGTAAACATCACACGCAATTTATGTAAAGACGGCAAATGATAAACAGCAAGTCCGCAAACACTCGCAAATCATAAATAGTAAAAGCTCGCTAATGCATTTGCCTTAATGCCTGGATTTATTTGCAGCAGAGTAGATTAATGGTTCCGTTTATATTAGTACATATGGATTTTTTTATATTGTAAAGCATAATGTTCGATCTGTGCGCCAATAAGATGTCCCACTGCCAGTAAGTCTGTACCAATGCAAATGCTGTGGGGGACATTTAATAAGTGTTTTTCCTTTCAAGCATCAACCAACCTTTTCGTGCTAACTTACACATAATATCTCGTCGGCCAGACTGTCACCCTTTGTGAGACTTTTTCCTATTCTTTCCATTTAAACTGATCGTTGCATTTGCAACATTGATCCAAGGCGTTCTTTTTGAAGCGTGGCACTGACACATTGGAGCTTCACAAATAATTTGACAGTTTTATAACACGTTTAGCGCATTAGTAAAGAGGTAATCTTAAGAAGTCTCTTCTGTTCCATTAGTAGCCAAACCACGCTTCCCTGATGGAGAGCACTCTGGACGGTAGCGCAGGTTCTTTACTGGATTCTTTCTCATTTGCATCTTACTGACCACCTCAACATGAGGTTATTTTCCATTCCCGAAGAGAGGAGATCACTTGTGTTAAACCCTGACCTAAGAACGGGTGTTAGTTGACTCATCGTCCAAACGGTGTGGAGTCAGCAATACACAAGGCTAAAAAGGATGCTGGGGTTTATTGCTGAATCGTCCAAATTCAGATCCTTACAATCATGCTTAAGCTGCACAGTGCTCTGATGAGACCACAACTGGAGTGTTATATACAGTGCTGATTGCCACGGCTTGGTGTGTGTGCGTGTGTGTGAGTGAGGGGGGGTTCCAAGAGGCAAAGTATGAGCATTGAGCCTGATCCCCACTGCTATGAAAAACGATAAGCTAAGGCTCTTCAGTCTTAAGAAATAATCACCTCAGAAGGAATCCTCTTGAGTTATGTAAGACGCTGAATGGGATAGAGAAAGATACATCAAGGCAGCAGGAAGAAGGTGGTGAAGGTCAATATTAGGACAGACAGCAGCCAGGAAGTATTTCTTTGCACAGAGGGTCCTGACCAACTGCAGTAGGTTACTGGGAAGGCTGGTAGAGGCCAATAGAAGGAAGAAAAGAATAACAACAGCGTATCAATTAAAGTGTTAGTCCTTGTGCATTTATGTTTATTTAAGTGAGTAAGATAAAAGACACTGTTATATTGACATATAGAAATAACAATAATTGTGATAAGCCACGCACAAGGGGTTAAGTTTTGCAAATAATTTAACGCGATGCATAAAATCACATTTGATAAGGCAACAAACATTATTTAAAAAAAAGATTCCCAACATCTGAAGCAAGATTCAAATGTTTTCAGTCTTGTTAAATAAACAAATAAACAAACAAACAAACAAATGAATAAATAAAAAGCACATATCTGAAAAAAGCGTTTACTAACCAATAAACCTTGACTAACCAGTCTTGACATAGACAGACTGGTAAAATGGGCAGACACGTGGCAGATGAAGTTTAATGAGGAGAAATGCGAAGTGATGTATTTTGGGAGGAAGAATGAGGAGAGACGATATAAGCTGATGGTAGAATCTTAAAGGGGTGAAGGAACAGAGAGACCTGAGGGTTCATATAAGTAAATCTTTGAAGGTGGCAGGACACGGAGATAAAGCTGTTAAAAAAAAGCCTACAGGTTACTAGTCTTTATAAATCGGGGCATAGAATACAAAAGTCAGGAAGTTATGATGAACCTTTATGAAACACTGGTTAGGCTTCAGCTTGAGACTGGGTTCGGTTTTGGGCACCACAATTTAGGAAGGATGGATGTCAAGCATTGGAGAGGACGCAAAGGAGATTTACCAGAATGGTACCAGGAATGAGGGACTTCAGTTATCAGGAGAGGTGAGAGAAGCGAGGATTATTCTCCTCAGAGCAGGGAAGGTTAAGAGGAGACTGAATAGAAGTTTTTAAAATTATGAGGGGATTCGATAGGGTGAACAAGGAGAAACTATTCCCACTGGCGGGTGGGTCGGTAACCTGAGGACACTGATTTAAAAGAGTTGTTAAAAGAAACAGAGGGGAGGTGAGGAGAAAGTTTTTCACACAACGTGTTGTTCAGGTCTGGAATGCATTGCCTGAAAGGAAAGGCTGGTGGAAGCCGATTCGATAACAACTTTTAAGAGAGAAGTAGATAATTATTTGTGGAGGACAGGTTTGCAGGGCTATGAAGAGAGAGTGGGGGAGTGGGATTGCATTGGATAGCTCTTTTCAAAGAGCCGGCACAGACAAGATGGGCCGAATGGCCTCCTTCTGTGCTGTATAATTCTATGAATCTATAATAAATGTGGACATATTAATTATTTTAATGAGGGTAGAATGAATTACATGTTATGCAGCTATGGTTTCAAATCCCTATTTTTCAGCTGATATCGAGCTTATTTGTTCATCCTTTGTGCTTTCATCTTAAACTTGACTGAGATAATTTCTCCTTCAGACTGACAAGGAAACGGAAAGTGACCATTTTTTTTTTTTACCCCACTCACTAATTCCGAGAATGAATAAAATTACTGCAGCAGATGTCGCCATAAGGAATATGAAAATATCTTTTTTCAAGTGAATTAGCCTTCAGAATACCAAAGACAGCATTTTATGTTGGAGCCTACCATGAATTCAGTAAACAACTATGAAGACAGTTACAAAGAATGTGATTTTATGAGCATGGTATAACTTTATGCAACACAGAAAGCTTGAAAGGTTATTGGGAATGTGAATTAGGGGTTGCCTAATTTTCATGTATTATTTGGTTCTAAGATATCTTTTTAAAAGGAAGAGGAGATCCAAGAATCAGCAATTTGTGTGACCTCTCAAAGAAAATATTCTCCGCGCATTAAAGACACCATCAAATATTTCAGGACAGTATTTTAGAACAAAAATCCATAATGTCAAGCAGGCTGGGGAAAAAAAAACTATGACTTGGAATGTGCAATTGATGGAGATGTGGGGGGTGGTTTTGATGCACATGCCTAATTCGAACACTTTAGCAAATAAATCTCTTTTTTTTTTGAAGTTTGGGAGGTTTTGAGTCATTAGCAAATTAATATGCATTGTGTGGAGAAAGACGCAGTGCAAAGTGACATCTAAGAACCATCAGAGCCAGTCTGATTTACCGAGGGGATAATTACTATTCAGAGCGAGTTACCCCTCTTCTTCCCTCTCCTGCGTTTCGCAAGCTATGAGTCAGTGTTTTATTCAGATATCTGTCTCCACAGCACTGCAGCACAGAATCATATCGGACCTGCTCTCTCTGAGGCTCCACATCCTCTGCCACCATGTCCAGCACCGTAGCCGGTACGTAAAGACATTTCATTTTATTTATTTTAAATCGTAGTGGCTCTCCCTATCCATTTTTTTTTTCCATTAAAAAAAAATCTCTTTTTTTTGGAAATGGGCAAAATGCATTGTGACTGCAGCTTTTTTTCTCCCATTTGCTAAGTGGAATCCATCGCTTGCACCACAGCCTCGCAGCGAAGACCCATATAATAATTATTAATTAGCTTTAATAATAGGATATGAGTGCTGTATAGATTATAGTCACAGAACATTACTTTTGCTGATTGCTTCAAGGATGTTAATGCAGTAAACCGTGGCTATTGATCCCAGGGCGAAAATGTTGCAATTTTGAAATCAGAATGAACACCAAAAAAAAGCATATTAGTGTCTCATGGTAAAACTGTTCAAATCAAAGAAATAATGTGAAGGTAAGAGGAAAGCATCAGCAATTTTGTCGGTATTCTGCAAAGCATTTGAGAGACAAATATGGCTTAATGCAGAAGGTTCCACCCAGTAATCATATGGGATGTTTCTTTCTAGGATGGGCTGTGAATTACAAAGATGCCACCTGCCTTGTGCAGCCTGAGCAGCTTGTGGGCAGAAATCACTTTTTTTTTAAAGAATAAATTGATCTGAAATAGTATTGACAGCGAGCACAGTGGGAGACAGAAGCCTAAGTAGATATTCATTTGTGATGGAAATAGGCCATGCAATGTCACCGAAATTGGGTCAGTGAAATGTTTAAACGAGAGAGAGAGAGAGAGAGAGAGAGAGAAAAAAAAACCCAGCAATCAGCAGACCTTTATTTTTTCAAAGAAAGGATATTTACCAGATGGAATGATGTCTCATTTGAGATGTGCAGTACGACAGTTCTCCTGTTCCAATTTTTTTTTGAGCACCATCAAACATGGGGCATGTCAATTACATTTAAACAAATGTTTGATTTAAATGTTCGAAGGAATCTAGTATAGATATATATATATATTATGTTTTGCTGAGATTATGTACCATGGGAGCTAATTCCCACAATCATTTTAGCAAGCTTTATTGATTCATGTTATTAAGAATTAATAGCTGGTGGAAAATGTTCAGACAAAAGACAGTTATTCTGTAGTTTCACGAGTAGCTGAGGCTTTATGACTTTGATTCTTCATGGTACAAATAAAACAAAAACGTGCGTGGAAAGCAAACTGCATTTTGAGGAATATCGAAACAAAAGTGATTCTTAGCAGTGTTGCTAAGGGGACAGACAATCCTTTATTCCTCTGTAATGATAGCCTCTCCCAGTGCAGTAGAAATTAGTACCGGTTAATAAGCTGCAGTTGCAATAGACCCATTACTGCAGCAAGGGCATACTTAGGTTCAAGCAGTGTCAAATCATTTTATCTTGGGCGAATTTTGAAAGAATATTCGCAGCAATTTCGGATTGTGGTCTCCCACTAAAGAGGTCACTGGGCAGGTAATGACAAATCCGACAGCATCATAAAAGACACAGAAGGCACTTTAAGAGAATAGCTACTGAAATATGACAAAGCGTAATCCATATATTGTTGATCAGTACAATACAAAGGAAGTACCTTGAGGAATAATAAAGATCTCTGCAAAAGAACCTACAGCCTGACTCTGCAGAATATCAAATTACATTCATAGATACAATGTGTATAGCGTTTGCAAAACAACACAATATTGTGTGTGAATCACATATCACACATCACATAATTCAGATTTTATATAATAACTTTAGATGTGGTTCTTTGGTCAGAAACACTTCATGAAAATGATAGCTTACATAAGGTTGCACACAGCCAAACTTAAGGTCGAATTATGTGAAATTAGTGAAAATCCTTTTATCTTTGAACACATAACAGTAAACTATGGGGCAAACAGATTATCGAGTACAACCAAAATGTATTATGATTAACAATTATTTGAATGGTTATTTGATGGACCAATCCCAATGTGATTCGACTGAAAGTCATTGAGCTGAAGAATATTGATGTAACATCCTGTAGGTGCAATAAAATAGAATGGGCAGCAAGTAGAACTAATGCAAAGCGAGCAATAAAACAAAAATGAATTATTAAATATTTGTAAAAGTTAGTTCTCGGTACAGTATCTATTGAAATATATAATGCAATAGTAAACAGACAAAGGGAATGAAAACGTGACTATATTTAATGCAGACTGCTTAATATATTATATGTATAAATGTAAGTCATCAATTATTCATTTTAGATTGATCAGTAATCTAGTTTCTAGAATCCAAGATGCATGAAAATGATAACAGATTGCGAGACTGTTACAGGAAGCATTTGATTTGATTTGAGTTAATGACATGGAAATGGAAATGCATTTGTAACATAAGGTATAGGTGGTGTTGGAGTGGGGAAGAAAAAACTCAACAAACAGTTAATATTCTCTCATTAATGACAAAGAAGCTTTGCAGTATCTGCAGTGTCTGGCCTGACTTGCAGGCCATGTCGCACTGCTCTAAAACCTGCAGCAACCAAGCTGAGGTTGGGTCTCTTTTAAGTGTCAAATCACTTCGACTGCAGTCCATGGTGCAAAACACAAAGGGGGTCCAAGCAACCAAATCGTCAAAGAATCTTGTTTTGTTTTACTCGTTTCCCATTTGTTCTTTTGCATCGTCGTATTATATTCAGTTACGTTATATTACAGTATTAGCTTTCCGATTTAAATTTTTCAACCAGCCTTGCTGCATGGTGTGGCAATTTCCTGTTTAAAACAATCTGCAATATGCCACTCATTTATTTTTATGTTATTTAAGAGCTGACAAAATGCTTTTTGCCACTTGGGTTGAAGGGCGTTGCTTTGCGTTGGGGATTTTGCTCTATTTATTTTGAAAGCTTGGAATATATTGATTCAGTTTCTCACATGGGATGCTCTAGGGTTAAGGTCTTTTGCATTTTATACTGTACATTACTCTCATTTTGCTCTATTATATTCGGCACTGCAGATCCACAAAGAGTAACAAAAGAAAAAAAAATGCTTATTGTAAAAACTGTAAAGATCATTCACTACTCAAAGGGCTAAAGGGAATATTTCCTGTAGCTTATAGTATTTTATATTAAAATTATTTCTTTGGAAAATTTCAACTGGACAATACTGTGTTCATAGAGAGTACCTTGTGCCAGCATTTTGATTTAATTGACTCTGTAGCTGACGTTGTTTCAAATTTACTGTATAGTCATTCTTATTTTCCAAAATGCACATTTGCATTTCAATCAAAAATATTGATTTGGCATCCGCATGCAGGTCAGGACCTAACCCACTGTGACAAATATTAAACCTCAGAACCTGAATCTTCTTCGGCATTGTTGTCTGGTATTTCAGTCTGCGTTGGCAGCAATGCTATATCGTGAAAGCTTTCCGTATGCCAGCAAATGTAATTGCCTTTTTAGCAGATGTTCGAGCCTTCCAGCACAGATGTAATATTAGCCTTTGAATGGCAGTGGATCAGCTGCCCTCCCTACCAGTGATGGATTCTTTAAAGATATTCTATTTGACATCCTGCAGGACAGCAGAACTCGAAGCGTACAAATTACCAGTTGTGTCGGCATTTACATTAAGTGAGGGCAGTGCACAATTAGCATTAACTAAATACAGTGTACAAGATGAAATAGATGAGAATCTGGCAAAAAATGTATGATTCGGGTTTGAGATTTTAACGTGGATAAACATTGGAATTACAATATCACTTCATTGTCAACAAATAATTTGATCAAATCATTTGTTGTTGGCTTTGCTTAGACATTATGCAATACTTGATGTGTATTATTAATAGCTCTAATCCATGCTTGGAAGTGTCATGCGTTTCTCTTTATGAGAAATAGCATTGATCCAGATTAACCATTTATCTCCAAATGTCCTCTTTTGCTCATAAAATGAACGCTGCATTATTGGAAGAATTTAACTTGGAATAATCAAAGGTTCCACGAGCATTCTACCTGCTCAAATATTGCCACCCTTTAAGGGTGCTTTCAAAGCACAATATCATTTCTTGTCGGATTTCGAAAACAATCATTGTCACGTTGAATCTGTGATGAAATGTTACAGATTTTGCCTCCATAAAGAGCATGGGATTGACGCCAATAAAAAATAAACTCAGGTTTATTGGACTTCACATTGTACTACTGGATTAGTGTATACATTTTGCCCACAAAATATATATAGCCACTTTACAGTATATTCTGTGAAGCACTTTGAGGCTCCTCGACTACGTGATAAGGCGCTATATCAAGTGCAAGAATTATTATTATTATTATCAAACAAGCTCAGCTTTTTAAGGTGCCACCCTTGTGGCATTTAGTTAGCTGCCAATCTTCTTAGCCTGGATTTCAGAAATAGTGCTGTCAGATCCTTCTAAAGGTTGACTTGATTTTAAAATCTGCGATGGGTGAGATATTCTGCTTGTCACTAACTGTGTGAAACCTTCACTATTTTTGCTTTCGATGGGAAAATCTCATTCTAAGCCCACATCTCCAAAGTCAACTCTACCTCTAATGGCAAGAGCAATATCTTTTCCTTTAAAGCTGTTGCTTGGGTTTAGCATTTGAAATCACAAGCTCCCTGTATACATGAGTCTACTGGCCTGCTGGGTTAGTAATGGTAAAAAAAAACCTTAGATATTGCTCTTTGAAATTGACTTTAAGTGATGAGCACCAAAATGAATTGTACCAAATGTGGATGGGAGATTGATGTTTCCTCGCTGTCGAAGGAAATCTGTGATTTGACCAACGGTGTTCAATTTCTCTAAGTCTTTTTGTGATCTTAACAAACCGCCGGGATTACATTTCGGAGACTGCTGTCCTTGTTTTAGTTGTTTCCATCATCACTGTTATTATCCACCTAACATGCAAATTTATCAAGGGGAAAAGAAAAGGACTTGTGCATAGAAGAACACACAGATGGACTGGACAAATGCTTGAGAAATTCAGAGGCACATTGTAGACATGTGTACACCAAAAGTATGTGATTTGTTAAAGAGGTCATGATCA